CATGGGAACCAGCACAGTCGTGGGTGAGCAGGATGTAGAGGGTGGGGCTGAGAACACATCCCTGTGGGGTTCCAGTGTTCGCAATGATCCTGGCTCAAGTCTTATTGCCAATACTGACCGACTGGGGCCTGCCAGTCAGAAAGTCTAGGAGCAAGTCACAGGGGGTGGGTTTCCGGCCAAGTGAGTTAAGGGGGGATGACCATGTTGAATGCAGAACTGTCCAAAAAGAGAATCCTGATGTAGGAGTCTTTAGCCGTTTTGCCATTAATAAGTGTGACTGCACTCGGCTCTAGTCTTATCAGTTCTTCTCAGGTGTAGGTGAATTTCCACTGTGACTTGTTTCCCTGCTCTGTGGGCAGGATCGTCAATGAAAAGTGGGAGGTATCGTAACTGGTCATTGTGTTTGAGCCACTCTGCCCATTGTGGTCCTTAATTAATTCATCCTTAATTGCCCTACTATCAGACTTTAATTTCTTTAGCTTATCCCAGCACTGTTTATAAATCCAGGTGTAGCCATGCTGCACCATCATCTCCGATATCTGTAAATGTGTTCATTTCTTGTGGCGCCGTCCAGCAACATCATTTGAGAGGAAATGGAGATTCACATGTAAGTTGCAGTATTACTGGGTGTGTCATCCACTGGCCAATCAATGGCTGCTGTCTGCTTACATCAAAATCGGCCCCTCTGAACAGTTTGCTTGGAACCACAAACAAGATGGTCCCATAAACTAGGCTGAATAGCAGTGGGTATCAGCAGTGAGCAGGAGCAGGTCCTTAACTGGTGCGGAACTGATGAGAGTTGAGACTGTGGCAAAGCACCATTTGTTCACCAGGTGGGAAAGAGAGTAGTAGAGGGCAGAGACTATAGCACCTGAAGTCAACCTGTTGCACCAATAGGCATACTGCAGTGTGTCCAGGTTTTCTTGTATGATCATCAGGATATGGAATATAAGTCAACTCTGCTAAGTCTAAATCCATTGTTCTCAAATGGAAAAAGCACAACACTTCCTTTATGTTGTATATGACCAATTGCCTCAAGCACAATTGGTAAATGGATGGAGCAGGAAATGGATTGACAGATTGGGGACTCATTTACAGTTATCAGTGTATTGCTCAATTTAGATACTATGTTTACATTAAAGTGTAGCGCAAATAAATATAGTTTTAAGAAAATAACAAAAACCCTACTTTGCTAACAATTAAATAAGTAGCACTACAATAGACAATGGGATGGCATAACTGGAAGAAGCCTAAAGCTATGGAAGGAATGTAAAGAAAATGAAAATGCTTGATGTATGTGATTTATTAGATAAATCCCTGTCCTTGTAGAAAAAAATTGCATAAATTGAAACTTCCTTTCAGTTGAGTTTGCATACTGCTCAAACTGAGCCAGACTTTTTTGAACAGGCTTTCTGATGCTGTCTTACAGATCCACATGATCGTTCAAACATTGCACTAAAGAACCTGTTTTGCAGCAGTCCAGACGCAGAAGCCCTTGAGGTGAGAGCACCACATCCTCAAATATTGACAACTACAAGAGCACCGTCACACGTACTGTACACAATCTTGTGACTCACATTCTGTCATTCACACCTTTTGCACACCCACATAGTCCTATCTCTCACATACAATCCTTCACACTCTACAGTACAGTACCTCCCACTCAAACAGGCACACAAAAACAGAACACGCTGCACAGAATCACGAGCAGCCTCAATATAAAACCTCTACTTTGTCTCTCATGTCTTTCAACCTTTTTAGGAAAAAGGCCTTTATTCCTAATCAACCTGCTAAACACTCATTTCATTGAAATATTTTTGCAGCAGTGTTGTCAAGTTCAGTCATTTCAAACTGACATTGATGAAGCATATTTCTATATTTCTATGTTTGCAAATTCAAACGGATGCCAAGGTTTTTAATATGTGTTTGTCTCTGGTCACTCTGAAAGAAAAACAACAATTTGGAGAGCCCAGTGTCTCCTGGGCTCAGGAGATCATCTAAACGAGTCCGGATATCTGTTGTGGTAAGAGCCACCGTTCTGGGCTACCCACAAGCCTGGAATCTGCTCTGCAATGGGTCTATCAAAAAACTGACCCGTTGTCACACAGCCATTCCATTACAGGGCTAATCCCAATTGCCGATGGACTGTAATGTGAGCTAAGCGCAGCCAACACTGTGCCATCATGCCAGCAGCACTTTGATCATCTTTTTCTTATCCAACCTGTAACCTGACCACCGTCTTCTCATTGTCTTTGATTTCTGCCATTATAGACTTGGCTTAGATTCATTCATTTTAACCAGTTTCCATTAGTCTTTTGGCCATGAGAAGGTATACAGAATACTTGACCACTAAAATACCAGTATTGCCTAAATCAACAGTATTTTAGTTTAGGTATAATCCCGTTAATATTTTCATTTACATTACAAAGTTTACCTGTGTAAGACATCTGGGTCAGGTTACGCCCAAATTTCATGTAGCTGTTCTTTACAATACCTTTCACGGCATGTTCCTTAAACTTCTGATCTTTGTTTTATTAAAAATAGAACAGTGTGTTTACATGTTCAGAGCATAGACATCACACATCAAGCCATGTATATTACTAACCATAACAACCAGTATTTCTAATTCTTAAACCTGAACAATTTGAGTGGTAAAGTAAAAAGTGAAATAACTGTATGTGGGATAAATCTTACTACTTGTTTTGTGTAGTTTTTGAAAGAAGGACATTAATCCTTAACTTTACTGTAAATGTGCCAGAATTAACAAATTCTATGGTAAATGGGAAATGGACTGTACTTATATAGCACATTTATATCTTATCAAGATACTCAAAGCTCTTTACAACACAATCTGTGACATCTACAAAGATTAATCAGTGCTTTATCACATTTATACACTAATGGGACACACATCAGAGGCAACAAGGGGTTCAGTGTATTGCCCAGGGACACTTCAACTTGTGATTGCTGGTGGAATCAAACCTCCAACTCTCCCATTGGAGGAAAACTGCTCTAACCACTCAGCCAGAGCTGCCCCAACCAAAATGCTACATTGCATTGGGCAGGTTTTACAGAGTCGTCCTGCTCCAACCTCCTTCTAAACATTTTTAGTTTCATAAAATATGTCTCATGAATTGTCCCTTCGTAAAACGTCAAAGATATAATCTCCTACATATATATAGTTGGTTATTAAACATCAAAGTAAATAAAGGGAAATGATTGTGGAAAAATAAATTATTGAACATTATTAGAGCCGTTTATTGTGATCATGTTTTGTGCCATAGACCAATGTAGCTGGCAGTCTATGGGTTTTCCCAGGATACGGAAAGACGTTTCACTCATTATGACACTATTGTGCCAAAATATCCTAAATAAGATGTGGTAAAGTTGTGGTCAAGTTTTCTGCTTTCCTCACATTGTTATATCAAGCATGCTGTCAACCATCATTTGTCATTTCAACTCAATGTTTTTAAATTTGGACAGAAACAAAGATGGAGTCGAATAAATAAATAAAATATATCTTCCCAAGTAGAAAATCAGGACATGGACGTCACATGTCTTCGTTAGGCTCATCCACATATTTGAACATTAGTGTTCCACCAACTGCACTGACTAAGCTGCAATGATGATGCTAGAAAATATTCTTACAAACTAGAATGCTGCATGTTGTTTAACCACTCAAGAAACACTGCATGTCACCAAGTGAAATCGGCATCTAATTATGAATCAGATCAGAATCAGAATGCCTTTATTGTCATTATACGCAGTACAATGAAATTAAGAGCCACTCCTCTTAATCACGACAAATGATTTCACCACACCAGAATACTCAGGTCTGCATGACAATCAGACTTTGTCTAAAGAACTAAAACTTAAGTATCACGTGATCTGCATTCTGTCTGAATGCATTTACATTTGTGCAAATGTTTTCTACTCATCACATATTTTGTTCACTAGGTGCCACCACCTGGCCTGAAGGGTTTCGCTGCGGTGAGCACATTTATTCTTCAAAAAACCAACCCACTTTCAGTCCAGTATTAAAACACTTTATAGAAATGGTTTTCAGTATATCTCCTGAGAATGATGCACATAGCTAAATGTGTCAGTTCAATTGTTGTTTAAAAATCTCAAGTCCAAGGAAGCTCGCAGAGTTTTGCAAAATCTGTGACTTAAATATAGTAATAAATGACCTGAAAAAGTGGACTGCACCAATAATAACTAGAGAAACTGCATTTAATGCAAAAATGCAATGCTTATTGCAGAAGAACTTGCAGAATAACAGCTGAAATTAGCTAAAAACATGCTGAAATGTAGCTGAAACGAAAGAACAAGCCTAAATTAGCAGAAGAAATCAGAAAGAACACATATTTACTGAATTAGGTTTAAATTAGCAGAAATAAGCACAAAAACTAAGAAATCAGCTTAACAAACTCAAATTAGCAAAAACACATCTAAAAAGTAGCCGAAAAGGCAGAAAGAAGCTTAGCCTACGAGAAGGAAGTGGAAAGAGCTGAAATGAGCTAAAAAAATGTCGAATTGACAGAAAAAGCTAAAGTTTGCATAAAACAGCTTAATAGTAGCTGAAATAGTACAAAAGACTGAAACTAACTGAAAAAAGCTGAAAGGAGCATAACATGTTGAAATTAGCAGAACAAAGGTAATTAGGCTGAAAGTAGCATGAAAAACTTGTATTTATCTGAAAACAGCTAAAATTAGCTAAAAAGGTAGATGAAAAATGTAACAAGCAGAAGAATTAGCAGAAGAAAGCAGAAAGAACATGTTTGCCCATTTAGGCTGAAGCAAGAAGAAATGAGCAAAATAAAAGTTGGAAATTATCTGAAAAAAGTTAAAAATACCAACAAAAAAAAACTGCTGAAAAGTAGCTAAAAAGGCAAAGAAACTTAAATTAACAGAAGTGGAGAGAGTCCATTTTTGCTGAATTAGGCTGAAAAAAAGTTGAAATGAGTGCAAAAATGTGGAATTAGTTGAAAAGGCTTAAATTAGCATAAAAACAGCTATATAGTAGCTGAAATAGCATAAAAGCTGAAACTTGCAGAAATAAGCTGAAAGGAGCAGAAAGAAGTTTTAAGAAGCACAAGAATGTTGTAGATAGAAAGAATCTGAAAGGAGCACAAAACAGCTTTAAAATAGCTGAAAGTAGCTGAAAAAAGTTTAAATTTGCACAAGGAGGCTGAAAAAAGCTGAAGCAAAACAAAATGTGAAAGGAGCAGTAAAAGGTTGTAAACACATCTAAAGATTTGAAGGATGTAAAATGAGCTCAATTCATTTTCTATGACGAAAAAATGGCAGAAAAGGCTAAATATTTCAAAAAACTAAATTTGCACCAATACCAAAAGTCATAGCAAGATTGTCCTTTGAATGCTTCATAAGTATTCACACAACTATTGCACCTAATCCAAAGTGTTTCCTTGTGCTCGAGCCTAACAACAGTCCACATTGTGGTGGGTGACGGACAAGTTGGTCTAATGTTGTGTGAAGGATTCTTGGAAGTGTTCAGTGGCACATTGTCTGCTGATCACTTCTGTCCAACCACAACGCTGTGAAAGGAGTGATAAGCAATACTAATGATGGACTGAAGTCAGGACAGCATGCTCTGATCAGCCAGTTTTCAGGGTGTCCAGTTCTACTCCGGCCACATGTATTTAGAACATATCTTTCAAATTCTAAATCTAATTTAAATGTTACTTTAACTTAAGGAGGCAGATTAGAGAAAGGCTTATTTACATAATGTACTGTTTTCATTCTTAATTGACTGACAGCTGTCAGTCTTACTCATCTGCCTCTGCTGGTTATGATTTAATGAAGTCCAATGATTGACGTGCACCCCCGTGAAGCACATCCTGTGGTCATTACAGATGATGCTGAATTACACTAGTGGATGTTTGGAAGTGATGAGTGGGCTCTACTGTTTTTCACTGAGCAGAATGGTAAACAGCTATGCAGACATAAAAGTATGTCTTTACAGTAAACAGTAGTTATTTACATTTACAAATGTTTTCTCCAGGTTGGTTAGTGAGTTAAGGGGGTTCAGGTGATTTGACAAATGTATTGACCATCATCTATTATAGTACATGGGTAGTTTTTTGTATAATGCTGATATTTTTATCTTCGTTTTAGCTAGTGTAACTTCTTTTAGGATTTTAAACAATAAAAAATATACAGTTCAATTCTCAACCTGAACACCTGTAACACAGCTGGGTTGTGTGCAGACCAGCTCATTAATTTCCAGCAGCAAACGTTGAAACTTTCCTCCAGCTGCCGGCTCGGACTGCTGACGGACACCTGCTGAGCGGCTGTCGGACACGTTGTGATTTATTGCTCAGAAAACATTTGTCATAATCAAAATTACAAAGTACAGTTAAAAAGTTATGGTAAAATAATTTTCTGGCTCTAAAAACAAATCACACTGTGACCATTTATGTAAATTAAATTTAAAAAACAATTGTTAACTTCTGTATTACTTAAAACAACTTCTTATTGGCTTTGAACTGGAAATATGGACGTTGGTATAATTATTAAGATCAACCAAGACTAAAGACATAAAAATCTAATTATTGTGCGTGCGTGTGTGCATTCGTGTGTACAACCGCTCCGAATCAAGCCATTATCCTGCAGCTTCTAACTTTCTAAATTATAGTATGCTGTGAAATAATAAGGGTGTTCTGTTTGCAGCTGACCACGTCTGTTCTCAGAGCTGTTAAAGCTGCCTGTAGCTCCTAACGTTAGCCCGGTGCTGGATGCACAGATCTGATCAAAGTTACGAGCAACTAAGTGTTTTAAAATGAAAGTAATCCCAAAATCTTTGACTTCGTATTTGTTTGATCACAGCTTGCTTCCACGGTTGCATGGTGAACATGCATGTTTTTGGTCTGTGGGAGGAAACCGGAGTACCCGGAGACAATCCATGTAGCACAGAGAGAATATGTAAACTCCACATAGAAAGGTCCCGGGCCAGGATTTGATTCGGCAACCTTCTCGCGGAGAGGCGACAGCTCTACCAAC